AACACGAAGAGCCAAACTTTTCTTGCTCATAGCAGATAGTGTAACAAGAGGTAACAATTAGAGACTGTGTTTTGGGTTGTTCAGAGTGAACTGATGATATGAAGCTGGGAATAGCGTCTAATGCACCAGATGATTGTGCTACCATTCAACAAGACCCAGACAGACTGGTGAGTTGGGCAGAGAGGAACCTAAAGGTCTCCAACAAGAGCAAGTGTAGGGTCTTGTACCTGGGGAAGAATAATTGCATGCACAGTACAGGTTAGGGGCTGACCTGCTGGAGAGGAGTTCTGAGTAAAAGGACATGGGTGTCCTGGCAGACAATAGGCTGACCATGCCTATGACCTGCAGCGTGCCCTTGTGGCCAAGAAGGCCAATGGTTTCCTGGAATGTATTATAAAGAACATGGCCAGCAAGTTGAGGGAGGTGAACCTCCTTCTCCACTCTGCCCTGGTGAGGCCACATCAGGAGTTCTGTGTGCCTTTCTGAGATCCTCAGTTTAAGAAAGACAGAGAATTTTAGAAGTGTCCAATGAAGGGCCACAAAGATGACTGGGGCCAGGAGCATCTCCCTTAAGAGGAAAGGCTGAGAGGATTGGGGCTGTTCAGCTGAAGACTGAGAGTGAATTTCGTCACTGTTTATAAATATCTGAAGTACAGGAGTCAAATGGATAGAGCCATGGTTTTTTCAGTGGTGTGCAGCAACAGAACAAGGGGTAGCAGGAAGAAACTGGAACAGAGGATGATCCATACAGATATGAGGAAGAACTTCCTCACTGTGAGAATGATGGAATTTCTTCTGGAGTTATTCAAGACTTGCCTGGATGCTTTCCTGTACAACCCACTTTAAGAACCTTCTTTGTCAGAGAGGCTGGATTTGATGATCCCCAGAGGTCTTCTTAAACCCCTACAATTCTCTGATTTTGTGATTCTATGACATTTAGAAAACCAGAGGATATCACATGTGGGATTGCCACCCTTGAAGGCACTTGGTAATAATATGGATTGCCTAAAACACACAGCCCATGTGTCTCCATTAAAACCTGAACAGAGTGACCTTCAGAAGACTCACAGTTCTGAGTCTGACTTGTTTCAGCCTTCATTCCCTTTGACGCTTTGTCACTTTTGAGGACTGTTCTGTAAGAGCATTTCAATCCCTTTCTATTAAAGGGGTAACTCAATTAAAGAGTCACACATTTCAGAACTGGTGAAACGAACTTACTATTCCTCTGTATTTAGTCATAATTTCATAAGTGCACAAATGAACTCCATGTCCCAGAACACTCCTGCCCAGCAGCGATAGTGTCACTCTGTAGTCAGGGGGACATTTCTGCTGCGACTAAAATACCACAGATGTAGCCAATTGAACAAAATGGCACTGACTAAACAAACTCATTGCACAATGGCCAGTTCCCAGCTCAGAGGCTCAGCAGACCAGCAATGCTTTGGACAATGCTGTTTGTTTAAAGTGATTACACTTTTAGACGTGCACGCTTATATATGAATTATTGTAAAGTTGCTGTGAGCTGAATTCATCCCTGCTGCAGCACCACTGAAATGAGCGTACTTACAGCAGAGATTAATTTGTCCCATTATGTACTGAACTTACAGATCTTTCTTTAAAAAAGAACTATTCTTTCTGCAATTGATCTTGTTCACTGCAGTCATTTTAACACAAAAGAAGCCCTATCTGTGTTACACCAGTGTGATGGAGTTATACTGGATTTACGTTGTTGCAGCTGAGAGAATTCTTTCAGCTGAAAATAAAGACAATCACCCAAATTACATGCAGATCATCGCACTTCTCCTATACACCAAAAAAACTTGTAATGCACATTTCAGTGTCATGCATGACTTGCTATAGCAGCTGTAGGGAAATGGAATTCAGAGTAATACACAAAACTTGTTAGAAAGCTAGGTCTCAGCTTTGGCTGTAACAGATTTTCACACCTAAGCAAATACATTGATGCTTTCAAATTACACACGGATAACAAGCAACCCATCCTCTGTCCAGTTTGCTCAGCAGCAATGGGATTATTAACGTCTGGGTCCTCTGTGGAGATGGCTTCCACCACTCTGGGTATAAAAGTTTTGAACTTGAAAGGTTTGAAGGATGAAGGGATACGATAACAGTGAAGTGTTTAAAACCAATCTTTTTTCCGTCTAAAAGAGAGGGGATTCAGGTACCTTACGGGAATTGCTCAGAAAATGCCCTGACATCATCACCCCTGCTTTGTTTGGCTTGACATAACATGAGGTGCAGCTACCTTTCCCACAGAAAGTAATTTTAAGATAATACAAAATAGGAAAACAAACAAACTTGAATTCCAGAATGATACTTTGCTTCCAAAATGATCACCCTTATTTTTCTCTAATACAAAATGTTTTAGATAAAGTTTACCAGGTTTTTTTGGTTTTTTTTTTTTTTTTTTTTCTTTTTTTTTCTGGAAGGTTATGTGAAAATACATTATTTCTTGGCTTTGTTGTGAAATAGAAATTCTGACTGTCAGGTGACAGTTACAAGTAATGTCTTGCAATGGTGAGCTTCAATTTCACAGACCAGGCCAACAGAAGTAGGCAGTGTCCTCTTCCTGAAAGTATTTTTCTGATGACTATGATCTGTGAGAGAAAGAAGCTTTCAAACAGAAGCAGGTGGCAGGACAAAGCCAGGCAGGGAGCTGTGGTCAGTACTGGGAAGATGACCGTCAGCAATGAGCCCACGGGTTCTCCCTTTCCTCACTAACAATTGGCTCTCTGGTGAGAACAGCGGTGAAAATTCAACTCTTAGCACTCTGTGTACATCCAGTGCTCTTCTTTTGAACGCAAAGACAATGAAGAAAAAAGTCCATTTAGTGGGTTCAACTCACCAGGTCTTCTGCCCTAAAATATGATTAGGCAACAATTTTGTTTGTTACTCTTTGCCCTCCGAGGACCAAACCTGTAAGAAGCTTTCTGGAGACTGCTCAGATATTTTCCCTTTGAAGAAATGCTGAGCGTGCTGTGGCCACAGCTGTGACTGCAGAACACTGCAGAGGACACTGTGTTTTTAACTGCAACCCCTGGATCTTCGGTTTTCCATAGCAGGGAATTGAAAAGACAGACCACAATCATCAGGCAGATCCCTGACACTGCTGGCAGAGCGAGCTCACCTGAGCAGGCAAATGTAATGGTCATAAACAAATGTGGATAAATCACATTCAGCATCGTGACAGCTATTTAGGATGTAACTTCAGCCAGACTAAACTGTGGTTAATGTAAATGACTTTAATTAGTGTTTTCAGATCTTACTGCTCATTCTGTTGTTTGTTTTTCTTTTTTTTTTTTTAACCATAATTCATTTTCAGTCACAGGAGTATTTAAAGACATATACCAGGGGATACTGGCTGCCTGATAGACAGAAGCAACTTTATGGCTTATACAAAGAAAAATTTAAATCTCTCTTACAGAACAGAGACAGAAAGGAGGGTATGACAGAATGAGGGTATGAAAACTACCTCTAAAACTGCCTCTAATTCAGAGACTCGGTACAACAGTCCTATATTCAGTATTATACATCTCATAACAGAGAATTAGGAAGAAATATAACTACTTTATGATTCTGCCCTTCCTCATCTTCCATTGCTTATAATGAAAAAGCTACTTTCTTCTCAGATTATCCAAGACTAATTCAAACAAGAACAAGTTTGCTTAGGCAAATCATCCTCAGCTGCTTACCTCTGCATTTTGTTCTCCATTTTCATAACAGACTCCGCTAAATAAGCCATGCAAAGCAAACAGTAGGTTCCTCTGTGGAGCTGGATAACTCAACCATAATTATCCCTTAATCTCTGCTCAGAAGGCCACAGCATTCCTTAAAGCCAGAATCTTTAGGAAGTATAATATTGCCAAACTGGGAAGTGGGAACATGCAATAGCTTGTAAGCGCCTGCCCCTTCTTTTTAGTTTGTATTTAATTTAAGAGTATAGAAGTACGGGATGTATTTTCATGTGGAAAATCATATTTTTAATTCACTTTCCCACCACCTACTCACTCACCCCGGTGGATCTGGTCTGCAGGATGTAAAGCAGACATGGCATTGCCTGATCACAGAAGGCATCAAAAAGTACTACAGTAACTGTGCTAACACAGGAGAAAGGAACACTCTGTTCTGCAGGACAGATACTATCCTGCCCTCCCAGGTCTGTGGCATAGGTGTATAAACAATGTATAAGAAATTAGTTTTACAGAACCTCTATGCCTGTTCTAAGATTTCTACAAGAATCACTTAACCTTGCCCATATTGCTGCTTTTCACAAAAAAGCTCTTGGAAACATCTCCAGAGGGTTATGTGATACTTTGACATAACTTGTCATTAGCACGTTGTACATTTTCAGTACAAAACTGAGTTATGCTTCTGTGTGCTAAACTGTGAATACTGCCTACAAGGGGCAGATTTCAAACACAATGGTACTCTGTATTATCCCCAGTAAGGCCCCATTTTGCCAGCACTAAAATCCCTTGTGCATTTGTAGCAACAGCCTTATGAGACAAATCAGCCAGATGTCCAATAGCCTGTACAGGTCAAAAGCAGTGAATTTAACACTTGGTGAGAAGATGGAAGTCCTTACTGAAACAACATGAGACAAACACATACATCAAAATAAGAACCAAGGATGAAACCCGTGTTCAGCAGAAGGCAGAGGAGGACCTCCCACCAGTTTCAAGGTGGTCAGCACTTCACCCCTTGAAATTGCTAGTGCAGGTCTTGATCAGCTGTGTCTTCTGGACTGTGAGCTTCCTTTAAAGCCGGGAGAGTTCTGTGTGGAGAAGGGTCTCAACATCCAGTTTTCCAACAGCTTCACTTCGGCACGCACTTCATATGAAGAAGGGAAGCAGCAGAGCAAGTGAATAAAGGGAGAGAGCTAACTGACTTTGCTTAACTGTTCGGTCACTCCTGTATTTTGAAAGACCATCTACAGAGGCATGAAAATTCAATCTAAAAGAGACAACACTGTGGTACAAAAAGTTTATTTAGTCACGATTTTGTAAACATTTGAGGTAAATAAACATCTACATCAACTTGTTTCTTACAGAATTTAATACACAAGGCACTTCTTGGAAGACAGCACTTCTAATTGTTTGCTGCTTTTATTGTTATTGTAAGTCCATGATGGTCCAGAAAATTCATCATGTTTGTTGTCTGGTTCTGTCGTGTAGATGACAAACATCCGGTAAGCAACAAGAAAGCAGTGAGTAAGCTTTCTGGTGCTCTACAACCTTTTAACTGTGAGATATGGTGTAAATGGGAATAGAAGTATATTCTCCATGTTAGAGCATGTTCACATTTCTTGCATAACTCTTCAAGGACTGAAGCTTCTGGAATCTGATTGGCATCTTGCAACAAACTTAAAATGCAAATCTGCAATTTATTTTTTTCATGTCAGTGTTTTTTGCTTATGCAAATAGTCCCATTACATTTACTGGTCTTATCTGCACAAGTAGAAATGACATATGAAATTGTATTTGCAGGCTCAGAACCGTATTGTTGGCTAGAAAACAAAACATTCATCTTTTTGGTAATATCTTAAACAGTGCAGTGTTTCTCAACAAGTATTTTGTTTGGAATTTCCAACCAAGCTGTAAATTTTGCTCTTAAAACACATACACCACACCTGATTTCTGTCATTGAACTTCTACACAAACGAAAAGGCATATAAGTAATAGTGATCCCTAAATTGATTGGTAATAATTGTTTGTGATGAAGTGTATTTTTCCATAGCGTTCTCCCTATATAACCAGTTCCCATAGTTTAAATATGCAGACAAAACTGTTATGGTAGGTCAGTGATCGGGTTTCATTTTATTTAATGGTATTGCCTTATGTCTGAAGAGCTTCTGTGCTAGAGTAGGACAAACTCTTTTAGGTTCAGCATATTGCTAGAGTCATTCTTTTAATTCTTGCACAAATGTAAACTCAGAAAACAATTTCATCCAAATGTGCAATCTGAAATCAAAAACTGAATGTAAACTTCAGAAAATTAAAATTACAAGAGCACACTTCTCACAAGAAAAAATCAAAGTAAATGAAACAAAAATATTTGGGAGGAAAAATAAAAAGAAAAAAAAGAAAAAAAGCCAGCCTGTTCAAATCCACAATGTTACTGTATGTACTGAAAAAATTATAAAGGACCTGGGGGCTCAATGCTCTGCTCTTGCAGACTGCTACCACTCACAGGAGCTCAATGAGATGCAACAACCTGCATCAGCTGAGGCAGCCCCATGAGCCACTGAATGAGGATCTAAGTACTGATCTGAATTTTAAAGCTTGCTTTAGCTATTCTACAGATCATACACTTAGTTAGGTGTTCATACTCGGCAATAATCTCAAGAGCTGCAAAACGTCAGACACTTAATTAGCTCCATGCACCTTCACAAATGACAGATATGCCAAGCCAAATCAACCCCCGGCACCACTTTGCACACCACTGGTTTCTGAATTAGGCTGGAATAGAACACAGTTCATCTGCTTTCTCAGTCATGCTGTCTATTTTCAAGAAGTTAACATTTTTTCAATGGCAGCCTGGATCAACAAATTCAAGCAGTACCTTCTTATCTATGAAAAAACAGTAGATGGATTTTCATAGACAAAAATATACCACTTCAATAAAGGGAAGTTCAGGTGGGCTGTTTTCATTTAATCAAAACACAAAGGGAAGAAATGTGTGGTTTTAAATTGTACTTGACTTTCTTTTCTATTAACTCACAGCTGCACTAATTAAAAAAGCTCAGTGGCAGAAAACAGAACATCTGTGCCCACAGCAAAGAAGCCATGCATTTATGTACAGTACAGATAGGTTTTTCTTACATCTTTGTAAAACTGTTGTGAAAAAATGTACTTCTGCAACCAGCAATTTGGTGAATATGTTCCATGTAATCACTGTGGTTGGAAGGCACTTCTGCAAGCCATCTACTCCAACCCTGTTGCTCAAAGCAGGGTCAGTTAGTAACAGTGAGATGTCTTACTGGAAAAAGAGCAGCTCATCACACACCTGTAACTTGTCCAAAAAGTATTTGTTGTTGTTGTTGCTTTTCTTCTTTTTCATAGTTGACTTAACCTTTATTTTTTTAACTATGTTTATGTTTAAGGCAAAACAATCTTCCCACAGTGATTCTATTTAAAGAGTAAAAATTAGTGGTTACTTTTTTTTTCACTTTTCTTAATATCAGGCATGATTCTGTTCCACTTCTGCAATAACTGGTTTATGGGTGTGAATACAATCTTTCAGGATTTTGTTTTCAAACTCCTGCATGACCAAGCTAAATCAAAGTATTATTTGCTATCAGCTCCTTCTTTGGAGTTAATTAATGTATGAGAGTAAACAACTTGAAAATTATCAGATAGTACTGACAGTCTGTTCTGTGAGTTAGTTGGTGTCTGTACGTTTTTCCTAGAACTATGGAAGGAGGGTAATTAACCTGCTTTTAATACCAAATAGGGCAAATACCTTAAATCACTGTAACAACTCACCTTTTGATACACCAGCCAATAGTTACGTTCTGAAGATGTCTTATTAGACACTAAATATTTTCTATCTGTAATTCTTATTTGGGAAAGCAAAGTGCAAAGAATTAGATCTTATCCTAAGTTTTCCATTAGTTCCAAATTAAGAGCTACAGTCCTATGTTAACACTGCATTCGACCAAGAGCTTCGTCCTTCTTCTTTACCATGTATGTGAATTCAGTGAAAATTCATAAGTAAAGATTAATTAAAATTCTCATTAATGAGACTTTTTTCAACAAATCTGATCTCAGATGTGACACAACAACTAAAAGGAGTGGTAAGCACTGAAGGGGAGCTCTGCTCAACCCATTACCTGGGCTTCAAAGAAGGAACAATTAGTGGACTCTAAATGAATTGTAGCTAACCAAGAAGCTTAAGACTGTAGAAATATTTGGTGGAAATTAAACAAGCTGATTTTAAAAGCACAACCTTTAAGTTGTAGATTTGCTTTCTCAGACAAGCTCTGCTTTGATGTGGAGGCTGCTGTCAAATTTCTCTTCGGGTTGTATAAGAGTTACATTTCTCCCCCTGAACCTTACAGGGGAAAAAAAAAAAAAAAAAAAAAGAAAGAAAAAAAAAAAAAAGAAAAAAAGATCTTTTACATCTTTCCAGTAATTACTCTGCCTGAAAATACCACATATTCCACAAAAGCACCTGAGCTCTCTGCAGGTCTAACCACATGTTAATTCAGAAGGTATCAGTTGATCCTAAGTTAAAAATATCTCTGCTCTCATTTTATATACAGTATGGATGCAGTACTGCAGGACTCACTCTGTAGGGGCTGCACTAAGTTAAGGACTGCAAGATACAGGGCTCCATCAACAGAAAGTCAGTTTTGCTCTCGGGCCTCAATATTAAAGAAAAAAACAACAAAAAAAACACATTTCCCAGGTGGTCTGGAAATACACTCCAGAAGGACTTTGACTTCATTCTCCAGAAGTACGAAAGAAAGGAAAATCCAGCCAATGAATTTTGATGTACTAATATGCAGAGATGCATATTTCATTATTTCAGCAGTCTAATTATTTGACACTTACCTCAACTCAAAAAAACCTCTACTACAAACCTCTACTAATGAGTCCATAGTTTTTGAGTGCTAAACTCTGCCTTTTGTTTTACAGTGAGGCAATTTCATCAACTTTCATTAAGTTCAGCACAGTTGCATGGATACAATAGGAAGTGGGATTCAACTTTCGGCTTTCTTATAGAAAGGGTTTTTATGGCTTATAACAGAAAATCCAAGAGTGAATGCTTCAAGCTGAACACTAACAGTAGATGTCTTTACTGTACCACTGTATATTGACTCTCAATGAAGTGTCTGCCTCGAGATCAGTGGCATCAAAAAAGACTTCTCACCTGGTTTACTACAAGCTGGTCAATGAAGTCATGAGACAGCATGCCCAGGGGCTGCAGAACAGCATCTCTGACCAAGAGAAAATCCTTGTGTCTATTCAAAAGCAGACCACTTCAAGCTTGAGTGGTGGGAACATTTTAACTGTTGAATAAAATAAACACATTCCAGAAAACATTTAACAGCAAAGTAACTGGCAACTTAGCTGTTTGCTACAGGATGACCCTGCTTTGCCTGAGTAAGGGTTGCACTGCCAGGCCAAATACTTCCAACATGTGAAGGGTTATCCCAGTGTGTTTGGTTGTTCTTCTCCAATTACAGTACTTCCAATTTACAGGAGCAAAAAGACTGACTCTATGCTTCATTTATTTTGGATTTTGCTTAGAACAGAAGTTGAACCTAATCCTGCATTTCTTTGTACCCAAACTCTCACAAGCCTGCTCAGGAATTCAAAATTCTGACTAATTTCTGTAAGAGCATTTGTTACAATGAAATGAAGGATTAAGCCAGTTAAAAAGAAAGCTGCACCTTAGAAAAAAATACCCAGTAGTTTCCTCCACTCATTTTTAAGAGAAGTTCACAATTTTCAAAAGCAGGATTTTAAAGTCTTTATAGAAGGCCCCAAATCTATACTCGTTCTGGCCCCAAAACTCCATGTGAATTTTAGTTCTGACTGAATACGGCCTGCAAGTTCCATCGCCAAACCTTGCTCCTTGTTAAAATGAATGGAAATTCTGCAAGTGACTTCAGTGGGGTCAATACAGACCCATCAGCATGTTGCCCAGATATTTTAGCCACCTTTTCTGCAACATAACATTGTCTAAATCTGTTTTTACAGACTTCTCAGACACTACAGATTTCTGTTAAGGGACAGGGTAGATCATAACAGGAAATGTTGGTTTGGGTCTTCGTCACCATTAGTTAAGATTCCTTCCCCTTACATTTTCTTGTAAGATCAAAAATCAAACTAAAATGAGTAAGTACACAGTCAATTAACTTTAAATCTACAGATCAAAATTACTCTAGAAATGTTCAAATACTTAAAAATATGCACTCAAGTTTACTTCTAAATAGCTTTCTTCCAACAAACTTAAGCTGGTAACTAATAGTCTAAAATGCAGAGCTCTACTTCATCCTATTGATTATCCATGGGCAACATATAGGGCCACAATGTACTGAAACCATAATCCTTGCTTTCTGAAGAGAAATTGTTCTGTGTAATCATTTCTGAGGTGTATGGTTTACATTCCTGTCCTCTTCTAAGCAATTTCAGAAGTCATCTAAAATTATAATCAAGCATGCTCAAATATATATGTGGGCTTCAAAACATGATGTGATCATTGTTGGCAAACACTGGATAGAAGGTCAAACCGAACACTTCTTAACAGGTCAAGAGTTAAAAAATAAAAAGGAAAAAAAAAATAGAAAGATGAACCTCAAAATGATAAAATCTACTACAGGGGTTACCTAAATTTTGCCCAGCCAAGAGGACCACGTTGGCAATTTGCCATGAACACAAAGGCTTCCTTAAGTTGCGTTATATGGAAGAGACTGCAGTGGCCTTGGTCTTTAATATGGCAAGTTGGTCCAGAGAGATGACAGGTGCCAACAGGCAGCGTGCCATCCTGATGTTTGCCATTGGGCTACACGGGATTTAAAAGGAAGAAAATAAGTCATAGCATCTGCTCACACAGAGCTTATGTGAAAAGGCTGGAAGTGAAGACAAGGGCATGAAGGAGATGATGGCAGGCACGTGGGCAGTAGGGATAGGAACATTTTGCTCAAATGAAAGTCAGCCTCAGGGCACTTGACCTGCTACCATCACCACCTGTTACCTCTGCAGGCCTCCACCGTGGCTGCCCTTGGGAGATCTGCCATGGACATTAAAGAGAGCAGGATTGGTCCCCTGGCCTACGGGCTGCGCTTTGGCCACCCCTGACCTATTAGAAAACGTTGCTATTTTTCCCCACTACAACTCACAGAGTGCAAAAACAGCAAGCATCAAAGTTGAAACCCAGGCCTTCCCACCCGTGCCAGGCCTGGCCTCTCTGGGGAAGGTCCCCTGCCCACTCTGCCTTCAGCCACCTGCTCCGCTGCACAGCGGTGATTGCACTACACGGCCAAGTCATCTGACCTGGCTCTGCTGCTGCTCGACTTACTGGCCCTGCTCAAACGCCGTGTGTCTACAAGCAGCGGTGGCTCATGCATCTCCACGGTGGTGCAGGTGGCTGAGATGGGCCGTTCCTCCGCCAGCTCCTCCTCGCCTTCCACATCCCACTTGCTTCCACTTGCCCCGCTCAAGCTGGTGCTGCTGCCACTGTTGGCTGTGGAGATGGGTGGCCCAGCTGGGGGTGGGAGAAGCTGCTCCAGGGGCTCTTCCTGCTCTGGAAGAGGATGCCGGACGCTGCTAGGGGTGGAGGAACCCGCTGAGCTGGAGGGTGCCTTGCCTTGCTGCTCAGCTGCCATATTGACCCAATTCTGCTCGGCTGCCAGGGCATTGCTTTTGCTGTTGAAGTAGTTGATGACAGCTGGTGTGGGTGTGGGGATGGGAGTTGGGATGGTGACAGGAGTGGAGACAGGCGTAGGGGTGACAGCACGGTGCCTGTTCTCCGGAACTGGTGGAGCTACAGGGTAGCTTGCCATGGAGGCAGTGTTGGAGGGGGGCCGTGCCCTAGGAGCAGCTGCAGCATAGTAGGGTGCCATGGTCACCGGAGCCAGCAGCGGTGTGACAGCACGCGTGTCAGGCAGAACAGGAGCAGGTGCAGTGGTCGTTACCACCACTGGCGGTGCTGGTGGTGGCAGGGAAACTGGTTTGGATTCTCCTGTTACCATGACCGGTGTCAGCGTTGTAACAGGCATCTCAAGGCTGTACTGGCTTGTCATGCCCTGCTTCAGCTTCTTCCACCCCAAGTGATATATCTCAAGCATGTTCAGCAGCAGGGAGACAGAGGCCACCACCAACATGAAGATGATGAAGATTGTCTTCTCAGTGGGCCGTGAGATGAAGCAGTCCACAGTGTGTGGGCAAGGCGGACGGCTGCACTGGTAGACTGGCTTTAGTTCAAAGCCATAAAGGAAGTACTGGCCCACAATGAAGCCTACCTCAAACAGCGTCTTGAAAATGATGTTGAAGATGTAGGTACGGAGCAGAGCACCTCCCATACGGATTCTACCACGCTCATCACGGATCGGAAGCTTCTCCTTTCCCATTTTCATAGGAGGGTCCTTGAAATTATTGCCTCCTCTACTACCACCACCAGATGCTGCTGCTCCTGGATAGTTGTTCTCTTTGACACTTCCCCTCTTTTTCAGCTCTTCTTTTTCTTTCCTCTTCTCCTCCATGCGTACAATGTGCAGCACGTGGCCCAGGTAGATGAGGGTTGGAGTGGAGACAAAAATGATCTGCAGCACCCAGAAGCGGATATGAGAAATGGGGAAGGCTTTGTCATAGCAAACATTTTCGCAACCAGGTTGCTGAGTGTTGCACGTAAAGTCTGACTGCTCGTCTCCCCAGACTTCCTCAGCGGCAGCCCCCAGCACCAGTATCCTGAAGATGAACAGTACTGTCAGCCAAACCTTGCCAATCACCGTGGAGTGCTCCTGCGCGTTCTCTAGCAGCCTCCCCAGAAAACTCCAGTCACCCATTGTTTCAGATTTCTAACCTGCAATAAGAACATTAGAGCGATGTTAAAAAATATTGTTATTATACAACACTGAAGCAGAACAGCTTGTTACAGCTTGTTCCCCCATACCTGACATTTAAATGTACTCCCTTTTGCAGAATATTGCACAGATATGTTCCAAATTACTTTGGGCTGCTTCAAAAGTAATGCATTCTATTTCACTTTTTTGGCTCATAACATGAGAGGCAGATGTTGGTGGGATGGCAGTAGAGGCTGAACCTTCCCACCAGTTTTCCATTACATATTGTTGCTGTATGACAGATGGCAGCAGAGAGGCTGTCTGACAGAACGGCATCTGGCATGGAAGCCGCATATGAAGGAAGGGTGTGGAACAGAATTCCCCCATGTGGAAAAAATGGCACCCACTGACATTCATCAATGCTTGCTGAATGTGTACGAAAACCAAACAGTGGATGTGAGCACAGTGAGGCAGTGGGTGCTGCATTTCAGCAGCAGCAGCAACAGCCATGCAGATTTTTCCCAGTGTGGCATGAAGGCTTTTGGTTCACTGCTGGTGAAAATGCCTAGCTCATGGTGCTGACTATGCTGAAAAATAGTTTATTGTAGCTGAGAATATGCTCTATCAAGTACTGTTGCTGTGCTCTACGTATCTGCTGTCATTTCCATGGAAATAAATGGGAAGCACTGCCTTCAGAGCTAACCTCAGGTCCCATGCAGCCATGGGCTGTGGGGAACGCAGAAGCAGGATGTTTAGTGCCTCCACCAGCCAGTGCAGCTGTAAATGTCTGTACAGAGTGGCCAGCAAGACAGATTCAGAGTTAAATTTCACCTGAAGTGCCTCTAAATGCTCTTGTCTATTTTTAGGAAAGATCAGGTGGAAATTAGTTCAATTAATCAGAATATTCTAATTATAATATGACTGCACCTTTATCGTGGCGTGATACAAAGTCACTTATTTGCCATCAGGACTTAATTATTACAGCACTCAAGAGGCCAATAATGTCTCAAGTCTCTGCCATTTTAATGCTGTACAAACACAAAAATCCTGATTCAGAATCTGTAACATTTGCAGTTTAATTCTGGAATGTGCACATCAACAAGCATGCTCTCCAAGTCTACCCATGTTTAGAAAGAGAGAATTACTGAATAATTAGAAATATTGGGGAAAATGATAAATATGAAGAGGAATGGTTTAAAGGTTTCTATACTGTTGTTCCCCTGTCCTGTCGTTTGTGGTTACTGAGCCACATCTACTGAAACACCAATAAAATTATTTAAAAAACAGCAGCTCAGGGCACTTCAGCAGCTACGCACAAAGAAATGAAGGACGAACTCGATGTAATTATCATTTGGAAAGGCTTGAAATACAAGACTGTATTTTTTGAGTACGATTCTTGCTAGCTATTTTCAGTTGAGAAACAAGCTATAAACTGCTGATATCACTTCTGGCTGTTTCTGAGTGAAATCCATGTAAGAAGTACATTTTGTTCACCTAACAAACACAAATACACTTTACTTTTGGCACTTTCAGAAATGTTTAATATTTATAGTTCAAATACAATAATCTAGATGCAAATAAGTAAATAAATAAAATCACTATCAGAAAAGATTATGCCTTTATTTTCTTTAAAAATCTCAACATACTTTTATTAGCGCAATCAAATGACACTTCACTCTTTTCACTTGCATACACTTTTTTTGTTTAAGTACCTGTGTGCTACAGTTCCCAAGAAGAGGAGTTCATCATTACGTGCAGAAGTCACTATTATTGGTATTTAACTTATTGTGATTTCCAACAACAGTGTCACTGAAATTCAAAAGGGAACATTTCCAAAGTCAGCACTGAACTTCTTTCGAGCTGTTAGTTAAGGTAACGACAGTCATTTAGTTATTTTTTGTGCAATTTAATTTTACTATGAGGAAGTCAGATACCTGTAAATGCACAACAGTGTATTTCCACACAAAAAGCAACATTTTTGGAAATCCTAGAGTGCTGAAACACTTCTTATCCCAACAAAGTTAGTTCAACAAAAACCCTATCCACAACAGAATAGATCTTTGATATCCTGCAATAATGTTGCCTTTGATATTATGGAATTCCTTTTTTACTCCAAAGCAGTTGAAGATACGCTCAGTTCAGCTCTGTCGTAATGTTCTTGGGGAGCCTTCTTAAATAAAATAAAAAGATGCTTATCTCCAGTGGCTGGAGAGATTGCAGAGATCCAAGTCTTTTATCTTCTTTCAGTGTCAATATATTCTCCAGCGAGCAACTCTTAAAGCCAGTGCAACTCATATGAAAATAACAGACACTTTAAAGGAGTGCTCTGATATAAAAAATGATTAAATGACATCAGACTTAACCCAAGGGCTCACAAAGCTCACAGAGTTTTATTTGAGCTATCACCATTAGGTCCAACAACAAAATACCTGCATCATATTCAAACAGGCACTAGTTCAGCTGAGAACACTTCCAGGCTAGCTCTGCAGTGCTAAACTTCACTTGAACAGGACTACTTCCAGCACTGCTGATTGTGCTTTCAAATACAGAGACAGGAAATTGTTTAACTCTAGTCTCACATACTGTTTGCAAAGGGAGAGCTCTTTTTCTTTTCGTAGTTGGAAAAAATACAGATAAAAAAATGAAATTCAAGAAAAACTACTTGCAAGGAATGATAATGCACGCTGATTCAGTGCTATGCAAAGCAAGTTACCTAACTTGGGATCATTTCATAACAACTGGCAGTTATATATATTGGTTGTGTCACTTGAAAATCATAGAATCATAGAACTGCTCAGGTGGAAAAAAAAACCTTAAAGATCATTAAGTCCAACCACAACCTGACCATGCTACCCTAACAAACCTCCGCTACATCTTGTCCCCATTAAGACAAATAGTGAAAAAGAGGCAATTCATTAAAAATGGAACGGAATTACGCGTCAGAATTAATATTCTACCATTAGCTAACAAGCTCAGTATAAGTAAAATTGGCTTTGTGGATGCTGTGTGCGTTCGTGTGTGATAAAGAGAATGAGCAAGAGAGAGAATATATTTTCAAAGCTGTGATGTCAAATGTATCCATCTACAGAAGACAGATAACCTGGCATCTATAAACGTGCCAGTTATTATTTCTACTTGTATTTCTGATCCTGCCACAGAAGAGGTTCATCATCTAAAGTATCTATTTATGAAATATGGCATTTTAATTACTTCTGATTTTACTCTTACATATGCTTGTGTATGTATATATACACATGCATGCAATACATATATATATATAAATGATGTATAAATGATTCCATAGCTGTGTTACATATATTTCCATACTGTGATACCTGCTCTACTTATGTTTTCATGATAAATAATAAGCTGTCAAATCTAGAAAAATGCCTTTAGCAATTATTTTGAGACTAATGCATCTCTGCTAGAACACGGTTCCGTTTCTTAAATTCAGTCCACGTTTCATTTCTTCTGATAGTCTATAATATCTTGGAATTTGTTTTTATATCCAAAATCATGTACACTTCACAAACCAGTATGAGAAAAAAAAATGCTGCTAAAAGAGAAAACATAACTTGCAATATTTCCTTGTTTTTACAGTAAATTATCTTTTATAGCAAATTATAGTAAAGGAAAAGATGTCACCTTGCACAAAGCTTGCAGTGGACCATGTCTGGAAAATGTGAAGGGAGAGAATGAGCTGCTGTAATTTTCAGTGAAACCTAATGGCATTTGGTCTTGTACACATACAGATGTGAAATAACAGCTGAGGTTTCATTATTGGCCTTATAAACTCATTTTTAATGAAGGTTTGAAAAACACCTTTCTCCATGCTCCGTGTAACACTTTCAGAGGCATCTACAATCACCTCCATTACACTTGTGAGAAATGAATCCCCTGTCTTAAACATAATGGAGCCTTTCCCTTAAAAAACCTCTTGACTTCAGTGACAGTTTGGCTCGAGTGAAGGAAAAGCACAAGGAGCTGACCCAGGAGAGACACTCCACCTGCAGAACTGCTCTGTTCCCTGGCATAGCAAACCTCTGCTCTGATTCATTGCTCACAGGAGAAAAACAGGAACAAAAAGTAACCCATTTCCTTTCCCAGCATACTCAAATGCCACCTTAGAGCTCTACTTTGGAATCAAAAGACAGTGACTTACCAATAAAACACTGAAAGGTGAGGAGAGTATGGAGCTACCGGGGCACTAGGAATGGCCGTCGAGCATGAAGGGGACAGTGCCTACATCGCGAGTGAGTGGAGCGTGAATGAGACAGATCTGTCAAGTGTCCACACAGCATCAGCCACACGGATCCAAAAACTGCACAGTAAGGAGCGTCCCACCCCCCGCCCCAGAGTTACAAGGGAAAGAGGAGCTTAGCTGCCAGTTTAAAGATTCAAGACCCTTTTCCACTATAGAGCAGCAGGCACCCAATAGACAGGTTGAAATGAGAGGGCACTTCACACAAGTTACGGTAACTGCAGGGGAGGCAGTGCCAGACATCCTCTTCAAACTTCTTAAAAAACTTTTCTGCACTATCAAAAATCAAGAAAGTTTGTTTTCCTTGTTTAATTCTGAAATGCTCCAGAGAGATTTTTCCTTCTCCCTTTAAAATTCCTTTAAAGGGAAACTCAAGCAGCTTTGCCTACTCAGTTCAATTCCTTGTTCACATCTGTGCCAGATTCTTACACAACTAACTCACGTGCAGGACTCCTAATAACATCTTGTACTAATGTGATTTCCTCAGCAAGTCAGGAATGGATTCAAATATCTTTCTGATACCTTCTTTCTTTCTTTCTTTCTTTCTTTCTTTTTTTTTTTTTTTTTTTTTTTTAAATTTTTACTACAGGAAAAAAAAAAAAAAAAAAGACAACTTTAAATTCTGCAAACACTGGCAAACGTTTGCCTCATCAAATTTTCAAAGAATTCCAAGGAACGTTCACTCATTTCAAACACTTTCCATCCCCTTTGAGTCCTGAGTGAACACGGGAGGAACTGGCACGTTTTTGGTACCTCTCGAACCAAGGAGCGAGGCAGAAGCTCATTCCCCGCGCGGCCTGGCGGAGGTCAGCGTGCTGCTCTCCCTTGGCTGGGGCAGCAGCCCACGATCAGGCAGGCACGGAGCTCACCCTGAGAAAGTCAGAGGCGCCTTGGGTCACTCGGTCCGCGCTGTCCTCCCGCGAGGCGCCTCTTATAAGGCTGGAAGCAAATCCGTCTCTGCTTTGTATTGGGAGTTCATTCGACTCCTAGCCTGAAACTGGCTCGAAATGCGCATCAGTGCTCAAATGTGAATTCCTTGGGGAAGGAATGCCATCCCCTACACACGCACAGTGGGGCGGGCAGGAGCCGTGACCATCTCGGAGCACCCGGCGCCTCCCTCCGCTGCATTCCCGAGGTGCTGCTGGAGGTTCGGGCGCTTCTCGCCGCGCCGGGCTCCGTCCCGCCGGTGAGCGCGGGGACAGATCGCCCTGCCAGCGATGCCTCCGTCAGCACGGGGCACGGCTTAGAGGCTGAGATGGCCGCTCCGTCCCCAGAGCGGGGCACCCGCCCGCTGCGCTCTACTTACGCGTTGCGGGAGCAGTGAGTGCTATTGGGAGTAGCAAAAGCTCAGCTCGTTCGGGTGAGTCCGGACAGCGTTCGCTCATAGCTCGTTTAACTCTGGGGAAAACAAGCCCGCAAAACTTCGCTCGGGAGGCGTCGGAGGCTGCGGGTGCCCGGAGGGGCGGCCGCGCCCTGCCTGCAGCCCGGCTGCGCTCGGGCCGGCGGCAGCCCACGGCGCCCCTCCGGCACGGCTCTTCGGCGGGCGCCGGGCACGCGGCCCTGGGGGGGCGGAGCAGCGCCGCCCAGTGGCGGCCTCGCGTACCCGCGTGCAGCGGCCGGAGGAGATTGGATGCCGTGAGGGGCTCTTACGCAGCTCTTTTACTGCCCGCAGACCTTGCAGGGGGGAATCTGCGCTGCCTTCCGTGCGGTGTCAGATACTTCTTAAATCGGGCATTTGCACAAAGGAGTTTGTTTTTCTTTTCCTCAGACCCTGGAGCCCCACAGGGCTGCCAGCACCTCAAGTTGTGCTTCACCGGCTGCAGTTAACGCTCTCACATCAGGCCAGATCATTCCATAGGTAGAAAGGAAGCAGCAATACATCACAGTCCTTTGCATTATTTCAAGAGGCCCCTCACGTTCTACAAATGACTAGAGTCCAGGTTTTCACAGAATCACAGTCATAGGGATCGGAAGGCAACTTCCAGAGATCCTCCAGTCCAACCCCTGCTAAAGTAGGATCCCTGTAGCAGGTCACAAAGGAATGTGCCCAGGTGGTTCTTGAGTGTCCCCATAGAAGGAGACTCCTCAGCCCCTCAGGGCAGCCTGTTCCAGTGCTCCCTCACTCTCACAGTAAAGAAGCTCTTCCTTGTGTTTGTACGGAACTGCCCCAGTTTTTGCCCGTTGCCCCTCGTCCTGTTGCTGGGCACCACTGAAATGAGAGCCTGTACCCCTGACTGAGAATCTATACCCTTGATTGAGTCTATGTTAGGAATAGAAGACATTATGAGCAATATTTTAAGAAGTGTTTTTTCTCAGACAAGAATATCTGTCGTGCTGCCGTGCACATGACATTTGAAGAACTTGATTTATTGCAGCAATGCTCGGAACAGTCCAAATAATTTGCAGGTGGTTTTTGGTATTTTCAGCATTGGTGCTCAAAAACATTACCATCTCTACATTTTGGTTCAGCTTTTGTATGTTCTTGACTATTATCCTGAGAAAAGAAAACATTAGGCAGAATGTCTTTATTGGCATTTACATGTAAGTTTCAGTTGGTAGCCACTCTACAGTCAGAGAGCTGAAAACTCAACTACACAAGGTCATAACAAAAAACTTCAGTCCAGAGGAGAGAAGGCTCTGGGGACACCTGATAGTGGCCTTCCAGTATCTAAAGTGGGACTATAAGAAAGAAGAGAACACACTCATCTGCTGTCATAGGACAAGGGGAAATTGTTTCAAACTGAAAGAGGAGAGATGTAGAGGCAAAAAGGTTTTTTATGATAAGGATAATGAAGCTTTTTGACAGGTTTCCTGGAGATGTGGGGGATGCCCCGTCACTGGAGACACTCAAGGTCAGGCTGGATTGGGATCTGCGCAACCTGATGGAGCTACAGGTGTCCTTGTTCAGTGCAGAGGAGTTGGACTAGGTGGCTTTTAAAGGTCCCTTCCAACTCAAACAATTCCACGATTCTTTGATTCTATTCAAGAAAAAGATTTGAGACCCTGAATAGCCATGTGTAGCAGGGGACTAGTGGCAAATGGAAACAGAGGATCCAGATCTTTGCAATGCTTGGTTCCTCCCTCTTAATCTTTCATCTGGAAACACTAGAAAGATCTCTGCTGACCTAAGAGTAGTAGTGGCACAAGGACAAATGACTATCAGCAGAGATGAGTGATATACACAAAACACAGTGCTGCCATGACTGTAAGGGAAGTAGCATTGCAGTGTGGATCATGGAGCAGTGGGGCATGCGAGCAAAGGAGGGAATCCCAGCAGCCCATGTCACTCACAGCACTGCAACTTCCTTCACTCAGTGAAGCTCCTCAGCTGAAAGACTTGATCCTAGGAAGAAGAAGAGAAAGATATCAGTTAGAATCATCTGTCCAAGAGGTTTAACTTCATGAAACACTGGGTTTCCACAACACAACCCACAATAGTGCTTTTCCAGTATCGTGATGATTTTAAGAAGTATTTCCCACTTGCTGTGTAGACTAGCCTTAAAACTCTTTTGTTAGAAAAACACTCTTGATTAGAAGAGCAGTGAGGTTCTAGAGGAGCCTTTCAGCACTGACACAGAAGGTTTTGAAGATAGAATCCAATATATCTTCAAATAGGGATAATCTGATGCAGTTGCTGCCCACAACAGGACTGCATCCATCCACTAATAAATTCCTTTCCAAGAATTCCTCTCTGGGACAGAAGCAAATCTCTGGGATGTCTGTAGAAAAATTCAGAGGCAGAGAGGCAAAATGCCCCGAGTAAACCTAAAAGGTGCAGCTTTAAAAGTGAAAGGCCAATTAAGTACTGGTGAAAACCCAAAGATGAAAGCATGCTGAGGAGGTATGACAGGCTATTTGTTAGCTGTGTACTAGAAGATGAGGATCTGAAGCCGAATACAAGAGGAAAAGAGTAAAAGTTGTGTTTTTCGCCCCTAGACATACTAGGGTCTATAAAAGGTGAAAAGATCTCATAAATTAAGAAGATATATATTAATCTTAGGCTGAACCTGAGCTGCTGCCCTATAAAAAAGAAAGAGATCTGCAGATGAATGCTGATGAAAAGCAGTTTTACCCTGTGCTACTTCTACTATACGCATCTGTTTTGCAGTACAGAGGACAATCACTCATCCCATATTGGTGCCTCCAAATGCAGCCAATGGAAGCAACTCTGATCTGCAGTGCACATCTTTACTTATAAACAAGCCACATCAAAGTGCTACATAGCTTGACCCTGCTGTAACTGTGTTCACACAGCCTCAAAAGTTGCTACGAATGCCTTCAGTTCAGGTTGTTGGGGCAACAACCCTGCATGGTATGCGAATGGTGAGAACTTTGCTTGACATGCCGCTATGCTGCGGAAGATGGCACTAGAGATATTTAAATGCTGAGAAAGGCTACTACCAGGAGGCAGCTGTTCAAGCGAGCGCTAAAGCCTTTTCTTCCTTCCTTGTTTTCTACGCTATGAATCGAAATTAACTATTTAATAAATCGGTAATAAAAACTGCATTAGTAGTTTAATTTCATATTACATAGTTACTACTAGTAACTATTCCAATTAGTATCTAGTTTTCTGCTCTGTTAGATACTACAGACAAGCACATCAGAGAATGCAGAATATTAACAAATAAATAACTGGTGGCAAGAAAAGTTAGTGAGTCTGTAAGAATAGTGGCACAAATGAATTATCCCAGAGTACACAAATAATCTGGAGCAGACCTGAATATGGCAGTGAAATCCTAGGCTGGCATTTTAATCAACGGAGCAGGCTTCCTCTCAAAAGAAATCTGTGGGAAATCTCCTAATACAGAATCACAGAAAGAATCACAGAATGGCCAGGGTTGGAAGGGACCTCAAGGATCCTGAATCTCCAACCCCCCTGCCACATGCAGGGCCACCAACCTCCACTGCATTTGGAGGCTAAACCAGGCTGCCCAGGGCCCCATCCAATCTGGCCTTGAACACCTCCAAGGACGGGGCATGGTTATGGCAGCTTTTCTTTTTTCCACACTACTGGCAGAAAAGTGAAGAGATAAGACAGAAATATTAGTACTTGGCATATATTAATGTGGGCCACAATTCC